GAAGGGGGCGGGCCGGCTTGTCGGCAATCCGCACACTTCACTTTACCGGATGTCGCCCTGTGGTCTCCAAAGTGTTCCTTGGATACTCCCTCATGGAACTGTCCAGCTTTCTCAGAGTAGAGGCAGGGCCTGGAGGGACGGGACCAAGGACAAGTCCGTTTTGGCAGGTGGGATGGCACAGGACGAGGGGAAGATGTGGAGATAGGGCAGGCTCTGTGCTACCGTAGCTGGGGGTGCGCTGGGCACTCACTGCAGGAGGGAGCTTGGAGGGGTGAGGGGGCTGGCGGGGGCCCAGGGAGGTGAGGGGATGCCCCAGCCTTCACTGTGGGTTTAGTCTGGGCTGTTCCGCTGTGACAAAGCAGGCGGGAAGCAGTGAGAGGGCTGGCCTGGGTTTTAACCCCCTTGGTGCAGTGGTGAGAGCCTCATCGGGAGGTGGGGTCTGCCCCAGCTGCTGTGTGCCCCTGGGCAAAGTGCTGCTCCTCTCTGGCCTCATCCTCCTCGCTCCCTGTCCAGCTTGGGCCGGGAGGTCTCTGAGGTCCCCACGCCCGCATGTGCTCAGATGTTCTTGGCAAGTGCTTGTGGCTTCCTGCCCCTGGCCCTGTGAGCGGAGGCACTGACTTGGCGGGCATCAGAGCCTGTAGCTGGCAGCTGGGGTGCTTGCCGGGGGCTGGGAGGTTGCGGTGTGGAGTGAGGGGCTTGCCAAGGGGGGCTTAAGGGGCCACACCCAGACTCCTGCGTGTCCCCTTCCTTCTTACGATCCTACGCCTGGAGTCTGGGAGAGGTAGGAGGCTCCAGCCTCTGATCAGAGAGTGTTCTTTGCCACTTAGGTTTAATTCAATTATATGTGCTCTCCGTATGGACCCTTGGATTATTACTTTATCCATTGAGAGAGGCCATAGGGAGAGGAGCAGGGGGTGCAGACAAGTGCACCGTCCCCGGTAGAGAGGTTTGAAGAGGGCATCCCAGGGAGCGTTGGCCATGGTCCCCATGGTGATGGTGATGGAGCTGCAGCCTCGGGGACAGCACAGGCGACAGAGGGGACAGAGGGCTGGCGGGCTTGGTGTCTGACTTGGAGTCTTTCCGGAGCCGGGGAGGGGTGGCAGGAGGTAGGGGTCAAGAGAGACCCAGTGACCCAGGCCTTTTCTTTCTCGGCCTAAGAGAGGGTTTGGACACAGACCCAGATTGCAGTCCCACTTACTGGCCGTGTCAGCTCCGTCAGCTACCTAGCACCTCCGAGCCTCAGTCCTCCTCTGTAAGATGGGGCTATGAGCACCCGCCCCAGGGTGTGTGAGGACTCGTTCCACGCCCGGCCTGCAGTGCACGTTTCAGTAAATGCTGGTCCCTCTGAGGCTACTCTGGTCCTCGGTGCCACTCACTACTGACAGCTTGCGTCATGTCAGCAGAGCCCCTGGTGAGCCAGCCACTTAATCCCCCATTCGGGGGTCCCCGGAGCAGCCGTGCGGACAATTGGGCAGCCACGCAAAGGGACCCTGTGGGTACTCGGTTTCTCACCTTGGGACAGGGACACCAGAGGGCACTTACTCCAGAGCAGGCAGTGTGCTCAGACATGCCCATGTCTGTGGCCCGCAGGATGTACCCTTGACCTTGTACCCCAACCCATTGTCCACGTGGCCCAAGCCATGACACGTTGGACTGGCAGAAGGGGCGGTTGCCGGAGACAGACGGCTTGCGTTTCAACCCCTACCTCGCCACTGACTGTCTGTGTGACCTTGGGCAGCCACTTAAACTCTCTGTGCTTCAGTTTCCTCATCTAGAAATTGGCGATGTGCCGACGACACCCCAGATGAATGAATCCTTGTAAAATTTGCAGAATAATATTCACCGCGCGTCAGACGCTTCATAAATGTTCACGGTTGTTGTTGAGCTCTGCGTAACCCCCCAAACTTCCCCTCCAATCCCCTCCCTCCCTTGGGGTTGTAAGAGTATCCTACTCAGACCATACTCCCATCTCAGGCACCTTGTGGCTCACATTCTAGCTGACGGAGCTGTGGTCACTTAATTCTTCTCTCACCAGCAAAATGAAGCGTGCAAGATATGCCCTGGGGTGTCAGGTAGGACCATCCCATGGATCCTCCTGGGAAGGGGCGGGCATGGCCCAGAAAGACCGCCTTATCTGTGAGTTCCTCCCTGTTTGAGAACAATTCGCTCCCATTCCCTGCTTCCCTCCCTTCTGCCCTGACCCCCCCTCCTCCCTCCTGGAGCCAGGTGGCTCTTTCTTACCCCCCCCGTCCAGCCGCCTCCCCTTGTCCATCTGTCTCTCCAGATGGGGGGGAAATGTCACAATTGGCCCACTTTCTAACTGGAAAGGAACCATATGGAGGGTTTAGCTGGGAGCAGAGGGTCTACCCAGCCGCCGTTAGTGCAGGGCCAGCGCTGTGGGCAGCAGATTGGCTCCCTTTGGCTCTCTCTGCAGGACCCGGGACTGGAGGGACCAGTCCTACCCAGGCACCCTCCCTCCTTCTCTCCTCCTCTCTCTTTCCCATGAGCTCTGATGACCATGGTCTTCTGTAGCGCTTGGGATTTCTTTGGTGCCTAAGGAGAGACCTGAGGAGCTCCGCCTGCCCCAAAGAGGCAGAAAGTAAGGGAGGGGGGTTCTGGTCAGTGGGTAGGGGCAGAGGGCTGCTTTGCCTGCTGCGGAGAACCAGGGGGTCTACTTCCTGGGGACAGGGATGTGAGAGTGCCCGTGTGTCGTGTGGCCCCAGGCCTGGCAGGTGCCTGGCGCAGAGCAACCCCTCTTGTAGTGAGGGTACCTTGTTTTTCCCCACATTGTCCCACATCTGGCTGCTTACGCCTCCTCCCTCAGACTCAGCTCAGGTCACTGCCTTTGGGCAGCCCTTCCTGGTTGCCACCTCCCTCCCTGCCCAAGGGTAGAAGCCCTTCCTGGGTGGTGAGGCTTGGGTTTTGATACTTTTCCTGGTGGGGTAGGGTGTGTGTCCCAGGACTGTGGGCCCCCCGCAGCGCAGGCCCCCACACAAAGGTGTGTGGAACCTGTGCAGAAGCATCAGGTGGCCTCGGCATGGGCAGAGAGGCCATTTGGAAGCCCAGGGGTAGCAGCAGCCGGGTGCCCAACCAAGGTAGATGGTTTGAGGCATTGCTGGGTCCCCAAGGGATCCTGTTTGGGGTGGAGCTGGGCTGAGACCCTTGAGCAGAACCCAGAGGAGGCCGACAGTCTTCGATAAAGGATCTGCTTCATTAAGAATAACCCCCCACACTTTTCTATCTGCCGAGCCCTGACTCTGCCACCTGGGGCCCTGGGGTTCTTAATCCCTGGGGGCTCCCCTGCTCTGTATCCCAGTAGGGGCAGGGAACCGTGTGGCCCTGGGCAAGCTACTTCTTTTCTCTGAGCCTTAGGTTCCTCGTCTGTCAGGTGCCGTTGATACTAGAAACAGTGGTCCACACGTGCTTTTGTGCCAGATCAGGTGGGATTTGGATGCATTAATGACACCTGTCTCCCGCCAGCCCTGGAGAGACATGTCGAAGGCTGGGGACTGGCTGGGGAAAGTCTAAAGTGCTCCCAGGGTTTCTGTGAGCTCACAGATTCTGTGAACCTGGCCCTCAGATTGATGCTGCCTCCCGGATGCTCCCGCAGGCATGGGGCTGGGCTTCTTGTAGGGGAATGAGCTCAGGAGATAGGCAGGCCCTGGCCTCTTGTCTCCCCCACGCCCCCCCCCCTCACCGAGGACCCAGGCAGGCAGTGGGCCAGGGAAGAAGGAGAGACAGGGGGGCTCCCAAAGACTCCCTGACCCCTTCCGAGCTCCTCCTGAAGCACTCTGTTAGAATGGCTCTTGAACTCCCAGCTGGGAATTTGCTCACGAATAAGATGGGGAGAGGCACCCTGCAGGGCCAAGGAGTGGAGTGGGAGCTGGGGAGCCTACCTATGGAGGAGTCTGTGAGTGCCCGGAGAGGAGCTTGGGGAGACCTGGATGGCCGGCTGGCCCGGGATGTGCCCGGGATGTACCCGGTTGTCCCGGCTCGTACATACGCAGGATGTACGGGTACGAGCCAGCAGCCACATGGTGCTCTTGCCGAAGGGGCCTGTTGATGAGCACACGGCCCGGGGACGAGAGCCCTGGGAGGTGTGTGTGGATGTGGATGTCGGGGGCGGCAATGGCCCAGGGTGGGCAACTTGCTGTCTTCTCAGGTTTACGGCTCCACGACGCCTTAGGAGGTGGCCTCAATGAAAATAACCAACGTCTACTAAGCACTCTCTCTACGTGCCAAACATTATTGCATTTATGTGCACTAACTCACTTAGCTTTGTAACAACCCTGTAAAGTAAGTAGTAGTAGTATCTTCACTTTGTAGATGATGTATTTGAGGCACAGAGAGGTTCAGTAACCACCCTGAGGTCACACAGTAAGTAGTTAGTAGCAGAGCTGAGGTTGACACCTAGGCGGCCCAGCTCCTCAACACTGCTGTATCGTCTCTTGCTAGCAGCCTGTTTATATATGGGGGAACTGAGGCACAGAGAACTTAAATGACATGTCCAGGGTCATCCAGCTGGTGAGTGGTGGAACCGAACTTTGTAGTGTGGCCGTTGTAAAAAAATTTTTTAACACCGTATTTATTTTTTGAAAGAGCACTAGTGGGGGAGGGGCAGAGACACACACACACACACACACACACACACACACACACACACACACAGAATCTGAAGCAGGCTCTAGGCTCCGAGCTGTCAGCACAGAGCCGGCTGTAGGGCTCGAACCCGTGAATCGGGAGATAATGACTGAGCCGCAGTTGGATGCTTAACCAACTGAACCACCCAGGTCCCCTGTACTGTGGCTGTTCTAATCACACAGCCTGTGCCTAGAAATCAGGACTTTGGAGTTAGGGGTCCAGCTGGGGGACCAAGGGCAGCCCCTGGCCTCCGTCTCCTGGAGTGAGTGTGTGTCCGAGGGGGTGGGGTGAAGAAGGGACAGACCTATGCTGCCTTGCCCCCCCTCCCCCACCCAGGCTGACTGGTGCCCTTCCCACAGGGGGCGTGTGCATTGCTCAGTCGGTGAAGATACCACGGGAGCCCAAGCCTGGGGAATTTGACAAGATCATCCGGCGCCTCCTGGAGACCTCAAATGCCAGGGCGGTCATCATCTTTGCCAATGAGGATGACATCAGGTGAGGGCAGGCGGCCATGGGGTGGGGGTTGGGAGCCAGTCATGGGGAGAGCGGCAGGTCCTGCTGGAGACCTTGCTAGACAAGCCTGACCCCACCTAGCATCCGGAGAGGTGGGGTGGGTAAGTGTGTGAGCTGGGAGACCCCTCAGGCTGGGGTGCAGGCTACTGCTAATGGGCACCCCTCCCGCCTCCCCTACTCTGTTTCCTACATCCGTTCTGCCAACCGGGGTAAGCCGGTACTTTAACAGAGGAGTTAAGGTCCTGGGCTTTGAGCCAAAGCACTTAGGTTCTAATCCTGCTCTCCCTCCTCCTAGCAGTGTGACCTGAGGCAAACTTCTCAACCTCTCTGTGCCTCTTTATTGCTTAAAAGATGGTGGGGGGTTAATGATGCCTGCCTGAGGTTTGAGAACTGAATGCAAGCATGTGCATAAAGGGCTTAGAGCAGAGTCCTGCGTAGCAGGTGCCCAGTGTGTGGGGAGCCCCTGCCTCCTTTCCTGGACAAAGCTTGGAGCAGTGGGAAGAGGCCTGGGCTGCCGTCCTAGTCCTGCTTGGGTACACACTCACCCCTGAGCCTCAGTCCCCTCCCTGAGCATTTGCAGAGGAAATGGGTGGGCTTTGGGTGCGACGACCACACAGTATAAATGCTGGGCCAGCTCACCTGTCTGCACGTCTGCCTCTCGTCCTGAGTCAGAATCTCGGGAGCACTTCAAAGATGACCCCTGAGCATCCACCCCTATTATCCCACTTCCCTTCTTCCTGCCCTTCCCCCTGCTACTACCTCTCAGACTGATATCAAGGCCAAGGGGGGGGGGGGCCAGACCTCCGCGATTCTCCTGAGGGGGAGAGACACAAGCTCTGAGCTCCGGGAGCCCCAGTCTGGGGAGCGGAGACACAGCCCTGCCCTCAGGGAGCCTCAGCCTGAGGGGGAGACGCAGCTCAGAGTCTGGGGGGGGAGGCATGGCCCTGCATTTGTAGAGGAGGATGAGATGGTAGGTGTGATTCTCCCCAGACGTCCTCCCTCAGATAGCTGGCCTGAGGCGTCATAGCGTGCTGTGCCCTCAGGCCTCCCCTGCCCTCCAGCCCGGCCAAGGCCCCCTGTCCACCCCTGCCCCCATGCGCCTCCTTCCCTGTTGCTAACCTGTGTCCATCTGGGTCCTGTTCCCTCCGACACTTTCCCCACTCGGTAAGGACTCCATCCTGGACTCCTGAGTTGCAGCAAAACAGACTTCCCCGAGGAGTCACTGCCAGGTCCCTGCAAGGAAGGAGGGGGAAGTTCTGGAAGATCATTAAGGCCTCAAAAGCCAAAAGACCAGCTCTAAGGGGGAGGTATCTCAGGCAGTGAAAGGCTGGGAAGGGGGAGTCAGGCTGCTGAGCCCGGAAGTTGCTCCTGCCCCCCGTCAAGGCTTTCAGGCCCCTTAAATTCTGCCCCAGGACATTCCTGTTACCCACAGGTCTGCCAGCTCCTGGGGCAGGAGGGTCCCTTCAGAGGTTCTTTGCCTCACTTAAATCACTGGTCCCTGCATTCCTGTCCCCGCCCCCACCCCAAAGCCTGGCGCTCAGATCCCATACCCCACCCAGGGGTGCACCCCGCTCTAGGCCCCCTGCTTAGCTCAGATGGACCCATGTGCTGGGAGGGAGAGAAGAAGGCACTGGGCCATGTATCCCACAGAGGGGAGGGCTGACTCCAGAAGGACCGGTAGCAGGAAGCGTGGGGTGGGGGGTGCAGAGGCATTTCTGGAAATCCACATGTATTTTCAGAAGCAAACAGAAGTAAAAATAAACCCAGGTGACTTTGCAGGGATGGAGGCCTGGGAGCTCTGGTCATCTCTGGCTGGCCAAATGCAAGTGGGTATTAATAGGGCTGTGGGTGTGGCTTCTGAGCAGCCCCCGCTAGATTAATGTGGGGTGGGGGGCTGCAGCAAATTTGGGGGACCGGGAATATCGAGAGTTGGGAGATGCTGAAGGAGGGAAGGTATGGGCTCTGTGGCCTGGAAACATGTTTGTCCCTGGCAGCCCCAGGCTGTCCCACCCCAGCTGGCTGCCTCCTGCACAGGCCCAGCAGCCACTCTCAAGCCCTGGTGGCTGTGTCCCACTTTCCAGCATCACAGACTCTTACTTGCTGTGCAATCCCGAGCAAGTTGCTTGCCTCCTCTGTGCTCCAGTCTCCCCGTCCCACCCCACCCCCCCCCCCCCCATGGGAAGCCCTGGGTTGGGGGAATTCTTCCCAGTCCTCCTTGGTTTTCTCATCCCTGAGCATCTCCTGTGGGCCACGCCCTGTGCTGGGCTCTAGGGTCCCTGATTTGATTACGACCAATGTCACAGTAGGACTGTGACACCCTCCATCCAGGAGGGTGTGGAAAGCAGCTCTTTGGAGGCCCTGGGCTTTTGGCACCGGAAGAGGTGGGGTGGAGAGGGCTCTGCTGGCCCAAGTGCAGAGGAGTAAGGGTGTAAAGTGATGTGTGTGTGTGTGTGTGTGTGTGTGTGTGTGTGTGTTCGCATGTGCACACATATACATGTGAAAAGGATCCAAGAGATGTGGTCGTGGGATTAGGGCCGGGTGACACGAACCCGAGAAGATCCAGGCTGGGTAGATGTAGTTCCAGGGGCCTGAGTCAGATACGGGGCACGTACGGTGCAAGGACAGACGTGGCCCTGGGGGCAGGAGTGGGTCTGGGGGAGCATGCTGGGCCTGTGGGCAGGGGTGGGCCCAAGGGACAGGCAGGGGCTACAGGAACAGGTATGGGTTGAGAGGGGGGCGGCCATGGGCCTGTAGGCAGGTGTGGGGCAGGGGGAACGATGGGCCTGGGGGGACAGGTGTGTGTCTGGGCAGGGTCAGCCAAGGGCCCCCAAGCAGGTGTGGCCAGGGAGGGGCAGTTGCACGGGCAGACACGGCTGGGCTGGGCTGGCGTGTGTTCCCACAGGCATGTGCTGGAGGCAGCACGGAAGGCTAATCAGACAGGCCACTTCTTCTGGATGGGCTCGGACAGCTGGGGCTCCAAGAGCGCACCTGTGCTGCACCTGGAGGAGGTGGCGGAGGGCGCTGTCACCATCCTCCCCAAGAGGATGTCTGTGCGAGGTAGGCCCGGCAGCCCCGGGGCCCGCGTGCCCGCCGCTCTTGCCTGCCACCACTGTCGGGGTCATCCCCAGCTGTTCCTCCTTCCGTCCCCCTCCTCCATTCCTCGCCCAATCCTCATCTTCCCGCGTCCCGCCTCTTTCCTCCACCTTGGCCCACACCTTCTTTGTGCTGATGTTCTAGGCTGCGCGGCCTTTCTGGCTACACTCAGCCCCGCTGGGATTCAAATCCAGATCCAGCACCTTTCTTCTCCCTTCTCAGATATTTTTGGGCGTGGGGAACATGGGGCACGTGTGGCACATACAGGAAGCTTATTTATCAAGGACTTTCCTTCATCCCCAAACACTTCTCTCATCTGGGACGAAGAGGCAAGGCCCTCGCCCTGCCTGGGGCAAGTCCTCTGTCAGAAGGGGCTGGGAGCTCCCAGCAGGTGACAAGAAGAGGGTGCTGTGCCGGGGGTGGGGGTGGGGGGGCAGGGTTCTCCCTGCAGGGCTGCCTGGGTCTGGCAAGCCCTGGGTGGTGTTGGGGTTGGGCCTGTCCTGCCCGGCATCCCTTCTTCTTGGGGCAGAACCCACAATCACCCTGGGCAGGGACGGGCTGCCCTGGCTAGAACCTCGCTGTGAGTGAGGCGTGAAGTTCCCATTAATGGCCCGATTTGGCAGGGATCTCACTGTCCTCACCACAGGGGAGGCAGGCTCCCAGAGCCTTCTCCCCTGCTCTTGCTTCGTTAAATAGAATCCAGCACTGATGGAGCTGGGAAGGCCTGCAGACATCCGTCTCTACCGAACTTTCCAAGACACCAAGGCCGGAGCATGGGAGGCACTTGCTCAAGGTCACGCAGCAGTGTTCTCTCTTTGCCCTGAGGCAGAGGGAGTACAGGCCACAGAAGTTTCCACATTACCCTTCTCAGCCTCGAGCCATAGTAAATACAAAATAACAGTAACTCTGGCTATTGGTAGACATCTCATTTAGTCTTCTCAGCAACCCCACAGGACACTTTTATCCACATTTAGTAAATGAATGCATTAAGGCTCAGAGAGATTAAGTGACATATAGTGGCTATTAAGTCGCATAGCTGGGATTAGAACCCCAGAACTTGCTTGACAAAGTCCCTTTCCTCTCTGGGATATTAGAGAAGACTTTGAGCAGTGCTTCTCACCTGGGGGTGATTTGACCCCCAAATGCCCTTTGGCAATGTCTGGAGACATTTTTGGTTGTCACAGCTGGGGGGGGGGGCGGGGGAGGCAGTGATGCTACGGGCATCGAGTGGGTGGAGTCTAGGGATGCTGTTCACATCCTGCACTGCACAGGACAGTTCCCCACAACAGAGAATGATGGGGCCCCAAGTGTCCAGAGCACCAAGGCTGGGAGACCCTGCCCTAGCCCAGTCCCTCACCGATGTCAGCTTTTCTCCTGCAGCTGGCTCCTACAGCCACTGAGCCTCCACTTGAACCCGGCCCTAGACAGGAAGCTCACCACATGGTGTGGACCCTACTGAACTTCTGGAACTTGTGGCCCACCCCAAAGAGCCCAGTCAACTGGGCACATTACCTGGAACAGTCATCAATACAGAAGGGGCACTGGGAGGAGAGCCGAGGCATCCTTCACCCGCCAGCCTGCCCACCCCGGGGGCGCGGGGGCTGGTTCTGGGCTTAGAGCTGTGTTGGTGAGTCCTCTTTGGAACATCTGAAGGAGGAAGCCGTGTCTGTCAATGATGGGGCAGTTCTGAACTTGAAGGCAGAAGATCTAGGCCCTGGTCTTGCTGTGTGACCTGGGTCATCCCCTCCCCTCTCTTGTCTGGTCTTTTCAGAACCAGAGAGCTTAGGTGCTCCCAGCTTTGGGCAGCCCCCACCAGACTCTCTGTTCTGATCGCAGGACGCCCAGGTGGCTCCTTCTCACAGAGGCCCGATATTAGCATTCTGGTGGTTAAAAGGCAAAGCACCTCACCGGGCACTTCTCTTCCATAAAGGCAGCAGTTGTAAGATTACACGTGCTCCCCCTGGGACTTAATACAGCTCTTTTCATCTTGAATGAAACGAAAAGCTCCACATTTTGTTTTTTTCCCCGGCCGGGCCCTGGATCAGAGGCTATGCTCTTCCCTTCCTCCCTCCCTCTGCTTGGGCCATCCCTAAATCTCTGGGTAGTGGAGGCGGCAAGGGCCGGGGGCAGGTGGGGAAGGGGGGCGCGAGGCCCTGACGTCTTGGTTGGTTCCCTGCCAGGCTTCGACCGCTACTTCTCCAGCCGCACGCTGGACAACAACCGGCGCAACATCTGGTTTGCCGAGTTCTGGGAGGACAACTTCCATTGCAAGCTCAGCCGCCACGCGCTCAAAAAGGGCAGCCACGTCAAGAAGTGCACCAGTGAGCACGCGCGGGGCGGGGCCAGGCTGGGCCTGGGGGGTGGGGGGCTGGCCCTACCGCAGGAGTGGGGCGGGCCGTGGGGGGGGTGGAGCCTGGGGGCGGGGTCTGAGGGGGCGGTTCAGGGCCATTCTGGATGGAGGCCTTGGGTGTGGGAGGGCTCAGAATCCGAGAAACTCAAAGTGCTCTCATGCATCCTTGATGTTGCTGGGGATGGTGGGGGGAAGGGGCTCCTGGATCTCGGCAGAGTTTCCCTCCGGCCCGTGGCCACCTCGGGGTCCATCTGGATGTCCCTAGGACGAGCCCACAGAATTGACCCCAGCTGCCCTGTGTGGGAGTCCAGAAGCTCACCGGTGTGAGCATTGTGCAGAAACCTCTCGGTTCCATCAGCCATTCAACGAACGCCAGTTTGATTCTCAGGGTGTGCCTGGCCCTGTTCCAAGCGCTGTGGTTATAGCACCGAATGAAAGAGTCAAAAATCTCTTGGAATTTTTATCCTAGTAGGAAAACGTTTAATCGAGATAAATAAGTCAACTATAGAATATGTCAGAAAGCAAATGTGCAGTAGAAACAAAACAAAACAAACCAAAAAAAGAGAGATGGCCTTCCTGTAAAGGTGGCTTTCGGGCATAGTCCTGAAAAGGATAGGGAATGAGCCCCAGGAGGATGGGACAATGGGTCCGTTTTACAGATTGGAAAAGAGGCTAGGAGAAGGCAAGTAAAGGGACCTGAGTTCTCATAGATGGAGGGTGGTTGAGCAGGATTTGAACTCAGGTCTGAGCTCCAGGCCCTAAGTCCCCTAGGGTAGCCATCATGGTGTGTTCACGTTTGTATACATTCAGGTGCAGGTCCTCGTGTGCTCTCGGTCTGGGCAGTCCTGCAGCAGGATCCTGCCTCAGTGACTTTGAGGGGGCTCCGGGTGTCTTCAACATGAGTGGTACCTATGTGAGGGTGGTGAAGTCCCTCTTGTACCCTTCTGGGCTAGTCTGTGTAGCTTGGGAGGAGGGCCAGATGAGCACAGGGCCACCTGACTGGGTGCAGGGACATGCTGCATGGAATGTTAGGCGGTGGGGAGACCCCCAGGGCTGGGGGAGGAGGAAGCGGGATCAGGTTGGTGGGCAGGTGAGGTGGATGCTGCCCTCTGGTGGCCAGGGCTCTCTGGGAATCAGGAATATTGGCCACTTAGGAAGGACCATGGGTATCCCCCCGGGCCCAGCAGGCAAGCTCATGTGTGGGTGTATGTGGCGGTGTGTGTGTGCACACACGGGTGTGCGTGAATGTGTATGTGCATGAGTTGGTATGTCTAAGGGAGAAGGCGTATGTGTGTATTTGTCTTATGTGGGGGCTTGTGTTCCTGGATGAGCTAATAACCATAAATACCACTGTGTGTCAAGTCTCTGTTGTGTCCCAGATACTTTACAGACATTATCTCACTTCACTCTTAAAACAGCTCTAGGGGCTTTTGTGGTCCCCGTATTATACAGGATACTACGGGGAGTCAGAGAGGCCAAGCAACTTGCCGAAGGCTGCACAGCAAGTGCCTTCATCAGGCAGTGATCACAGGGGAGGTTCAAGAAGTGCAAACATGCCTGAGCACAGGAGACTGAACCTTCATGGGTGACCGAGCTTCTTGTTCACCCCTTTTCTCCTGGGCATAATTTTTGAACACATCCCTTTTATCCTTAAAAGCGCCCAAGTGGCCTTGGAAAATGGTGAGTTCACCCTGATCACAGGTCACCAGGCCTGACTCGAGGATGGGAATAGTTGAGACTGGAGCTGGGGGCAAGATGGGTATCTGGGGCCTCCCGTGTCTAGCCCGCCAAAGGCGAGGGGCTTTCTGGAGTCACCTCTTGGTCTGGGAGGGGCGGGAGGGAGAGGGCCTTGGTCAGCCCCCGTAGGCTCTACCCAGACGCCCAGGTCTCGGGATTCGCAAACGTCTCCCGCCGCCGCGCTGGTGAACTGGGGAGAGGGGTACGTCTCCGCAGCCCCGAGGGAGATGTTTGGGCTGTAGGAGCAGGTGGGGGAAGGAGGCCTAGAGCAGAATCCAGAAGAGTGTAGAGCTTCCCTGCGAGCCTGAGGCACGCTCTGTGACCTCTCTGGGCCTTTGCTTTCTTATCTGAGAAATGGGGTCGATGGTGAACCGGGCCAGAGGGTATCTCGGGGTGGAAGTGACGAAGTATTAATGGAAGCACTTGATGAATTGGGAAATGGTGGCTCTCAGGCCCGGCTGTGCATCAGAATCACCTGGGAGCTTTTAAAACTATACCAGCACCACCCCAGACCCGTTACATCAGAACCTGAGGGGTGGGGCCTGGCCTGCGGGTTTTGGGAAAGCTCCCCCAGGTGATTTTATGTGTACCTAGGGTTGGGAACCGGGGTGGGGACAGCCTTGTTCACGGTGAATTTCCGTGGGAGCTTTTAAAGCTACTGATGCCTGACTCCCACCCCCAGACATTCTGAGGGAGTTGGTTCTGGGTGCAACCTGGGCATCGGGATTTTTTTAAAAAGTCCCCCAGGTGGTTCTACTGTGCAGTAAAATGTGGTAGCCCCTGGCTCAGAGCGAGAGGCGGTGATGGGAGGGAGGACGGCTTGCACCCCAGACCTGCAGACTGGGGGAAGGCATGAACAAAAGAGCTGAGGCTTGCATGAACACAGGTGGTGAGGAGAAGGACAGCACGATACAGCTGACCCTGACCCTGAGCTCTCCTGCTGCAGCTGAAGCCCCAGGAGAGGCTGGCAAGAGTCCCGGCGTGGCCCCAGGTCAGGCACGGTGAGCCGGTCTATCTCGGGCTAACGTGAGGAGCAGGGCTACAGCCAGGAATGTTCGCTCTTGGCCTGAGACACACCCTGGGCGAGGGGGAGGCCGCTCTGGCTTCCCATGGCCCCGCCCAGGTTTGAGCTGAGCCGCTCCCTTAGGAGAATGTCTTAGGCCCAGGGGCCTGGGTGACACCCACGGAGTGCTGCTCTGCCCCGGGGACAGCTGGTGGTGGGGGCGGGGAGGGCAGGGGAAGGACTCATCCCCGGGTCTGGATCTGAACTCTGTGTCCTCCCTGCTGTGAGACCTTGGACAGGTCATTTCACCTCTCCGATTGTCAGAGAAGGCAGGGGAGTCACTGCCCATCTCTGTGGGCTGTGGTGAGGATGGGGGGCGGGGGGATACCGTGCACGAAGAGGCTGGCTGCAAAATGATGTGTATGATCAGTGTTGGTACAGTGGTTGTTGATGTGGAGGGTGAGTGGGAGAGGGGGATTTCCAAGTCTGTTGGTACCAATTCCGTCAGCTGTAGGATCCCGGATGCGAGAGCACAGTTGGTAAAGGCACAGGTGCAGAACCCATTTTACGGAAGAGGCTACTGAGGCCATTTGAGAACATCATAGCACTAGAAAATTGGCGGAACTGGATTTATACCCAGGCAGCCCGGCCCTAGGGCTGGTGCTGCTGTCTCTCCTTCCTTCCCACTTCTCCAGGCCCCCTCAGTCTTGCCGCTCCCCCCACCCCACCCCCCCACCCCCGCCAGCCCAGGCAGGCTCTCTGTTCTCTACGTACCCCCAGGCTGTCTCCAGAGTCTGGCTTCCCACTTACTTCTTCCAGGACGCCTGCCCCTCAGCACTGGTGGCCTCCTATTGGCCCACTCTGGTCCCCTTGATGCAAACAGATTCTGCAGTTGGCCTCGGCCTGTTTCAGTCCCACATGCCGCTCCTGGAGGGCGCCACTTCCCCAGCACCTCCAGCCTGCGTGCCGAATGGCTGGGGAGAGAACGGCTGTGACCGGGACGTAGTCTCAAAAGAGCAGCAGATATTGGCATTTGGAGATCGGGCTGGTATGTCTCCAAATGGTAAGGGTGAGAGCAGACCTGGGTGTGAGACCTGGTGCGGCCGCTTCCTAGCTGTGGGACCTTGGCGGGGCGTTTTACCTCTTGAGGCCTCGGTTTCCTCACCTGTAAAACGGGAATCACGGTACCCATGGCCATCCCCGTCCCAGCAGAGCTGTCTCGCTCCCCTTTTCCCAGGGAAGGGATGGAAGTGATCTGTGGGGAGCGCTTGCAAATTGCCCAGGGACCACGCTGCACCTGAGCCAGGTAGGGGTCCCTGAGTGGGGAGTCTTTGCAGCTGTCAAGGCCCAGAGGAGCCCTCCCCATCTCCCGGGCCCCTCCCTGGGAGCACGCAGAGAGGGTTCGGGAATTAAAGCCGTAAACAAGGCAGATGTAGCATCTATCTTTTTGACAGCCTGCCAGCCAGGTGATGGCTGAGCAGAGGAAGGCCCGGTTTATGAGGAAACAGGAGAAATTTACTGCCTGCTGTTCCCAGGGGCTGGGAACTCCAAGAGGGAGGGTGGCCTCATGGCAGCTGGGATGTGTGGGGAGACTCCTGTCACGCAGACCAACGCTAACAGCCACACCACCACCACCAATGGTAACAACAGCTAGTCGTTAGATGGCATTTGTTACTTGTCAAGCTCTGTTCTAGTGGTTTGCTTTTAATCTTCCCGGCAACCTCTTTTACAGATGAAGAAACTGAGGCACAGAGAGGCTAAAGACTTGCCCAAAGTCACAAGATCATGCGTAGCAGAGGCTGGGATTTGAACCTGGCCGGTCCAGCTCCACAAATATCCCGCCTCAGAGCCGCTGATGTCCTAGCCCTGGGGCCTTCCTGGGTATTCCAAGCCTGGCTTTGAAGGATCTTCCTATTCGCACATTCCCAAAGGAACCTGAGAAAGCCTCCTTCCTGGGGGAAGGAGGGAAGACCAACATTTGGGATTACCCATTATCTCCAGCGGGTGCCAACCTGTGCCACCCATTAGAGCAATTCGTCTTTACTCAAGCCATCAGCCACTTGGTGGCCGGAGGGCTCCCTGCCAGCCCCCGGCCCCCAGTGCCGCTTCTCACTGGTTCCAGCGGCTTTCACGGAGGCTGATTGCATGCCACCCCCGAGCTGGGCTCTGTAAGGGGCACTGGCCTGCCTGGGGAGCTCTCACTGCAGCTGGGAGACAATACAGCTTTTCAG